GATGCCATAGTAAAGTTGAATTGGCATGCTGACACCACACAAAACAACATCTGATGCAGCCAGTGTGAATACAAATATATTGGCAATGTTGGTAAATGTTTGTTCTCTAAAGTATAGCAGAGCAAAGAGGACGGCGAGGTTAAAAGTGGTACCACAGACGATGAGGATAGCGTAGCAGTAGATGAGGGTCTGCCGCACTTCAGGTATACGATGGGAGGAGTAGACTGACGTCCGAAAGAGCTCTTGTAGGCTGGAAATGTCGAAGATAACCGGTTGCGTTGCTGCAGAGGCAGTGGTTTCGTTCGGACTGAGACCGCCAGTAGAAATGAAATCATTCGAGGTCGATAAGAAAGGGCCAGCATCGGTGGCTGGTGCAGTGAGGATTTCTTGACGGAGCTTTTCGAGGCAGTATTGAAAGCTACAATTGAGAGATTGAATATTCACAAGAGGCCAGAAACCATAAAAAAATACCGCAGATAACTTAAGTTATGCAAAATGAGGAAATTTGCAAATGATTGATAAGCACTCACAAACGGGCATTAAAACCTATGAGAGAACGTCGCAATAATGATACGTAACTTTAAGCGAATTTAAGACTTTAAATCTAAAATTAAGATTACTTAATGAAGAGATACTAACTTCTTTCAGAGCAAGACTGCAAAATCTGCAGAGGTGAAAAGTCGCTGTAACAGGGATCATTAAATGTAAATAGAACTGTCAGATAACATCATAGCCACGCTATTTTGTGTATAATAAAAGAACTTACCTTTCGTCAATTTTCTGTACAAGTAATTCTGGTAACGGATTCCAACAAGATTCAGCTCCTCCTGTTAACCCTAGCGAATACCTTTACATTTTTCCTTGTTTTCCAGCCTTTTTTTCCATACATTTGCATATTTTTGTTATTTTTTTAATAAAAATTTTCCAAATGTAGTATTTCCTAAAAAAACAGTTACCTAAGTAGTAATTTGTTGGAGTTAGCTCAGCACAGCCAATTCTCAATTCGCGTCTCATTCAACGAGACCCGGCAGCAAATTCACATTTATTGAAGCCGAAATATTCGCAAATGGGGCGACAATCGTGTGAGTTGCGAGCTGCTTGAGTCATCCCCGGTTTATCACCCGCCCAATCCACATTCGGTGCTGGGTCTCGGTTTGGCCAAAGCCAATCGTTACTCGGTAAGCGCACAGGCGAACGCGACGTCTAATGCCAGCGCTAGGGTTAAGCGGATGGCCGAGCAATTATCATGCCAAAATCCATCAGGGGTAATGAAAGTTCAGCAGGTCACGACCCGCACAAAAACGCAATTAGCGCACAAACGGGCAATTACCCTCGATAAGGCAGTCGTTAATTGTCATAGGTGTGTATTAGCATAGTGACTGTAGCCTGTAAATATTGCAACTTCCTGTGTATAAATTACTCGTTTCTGCATGATAATCCTTTTTTTTGTTTGGAATCAGTGGCGGACTGGATGGGATGCTCCCTTCTACCGCGATTATAAATAGACAGCGAAAAGCTTCCCGCCAGTCTCTAGTTTCCTTTTAACAAAATTTGATTTTTGGGGCTTTATACAATCCTGCAAATGGATGGGTAGCGGCTTAGAGAATAATCCCTAGTCTTATTAGATTTGACGTTTATTCTTCTCCGTCGGAGGCCGCAGCTATCAGATTACTAAAGCTTCACTCCCTTTTCTGAGATTAGATGGGGTCTAGCTGTTCGTGTGAAGAGATTTTGCTCTCGAGATTACTGTCACTACCAATAATTCCTGCAATG